AAAAAACAAAACAAAAATCCCAAGTCAGCATTGAGAACAGATCCATTATTACCAGCTACAATCAATAACAGCCAGGGGAAACTTGGGCCTTAGAAGTTCACACTCAATAAATCAGACTGCCCTCCATATTATCCTTCATCCTAAGGTTAGTAGGAAGGCAGAGCCATCTCATGTCTTTTGCTGGTTAAATATCAATCGTGAGGGCAAAGAATCTACAATGAAATCATGATCCTCTAACACCAAAGGCTACTTACTCCTTGTAGATGGAGAGAACGGAGTCCTGTATTATGTGTTTGTGATATTTAGTATAAGAAAGTCTTCTGAATGAAATGAAGAAACTCATGCAAAAAAGCATAAGCTCTGGGCCCCTCACTTGCCCAGGGTCCTTGTAAGACTTTGGAAGGGAAGAGGGTCTGAGCAACCTGTAGGCAGTCCTTATCTTTTCTCAGTAACCTTTGTAAGCACAAGATATTTTTGTAGTGTTTCAGCAAAGACGGCCTCTCAGTTGCACAAGCTTTCAGTTCTGAAAACCTGGATTTGTCACTGAGCTTGTACACAACAAACTGTCATGTTCTAGGCCACATTTTCCCCATGCGCAGGTGGCATGCCTGTGTACTCCTGCTGCTGATGTGTGTGTGTGTGTGTGTGTGTGTGTGTGTGTGTGTGTTTGCTGTGTTTCCTTTACAGAATGGGAATTTAAAAAGAAGTCACAGTAACTACTATGTCTCCATTATTTTTTTTCAAAAATAATCATGATATGGAGTTCCATAGTCTACTGTTTAAATGATATTAGACAAACAGTAAAACACTGCCTTCTAACAGTTCCAAGTCAGATGTGGTTTACAAGTTTTTGTGTTTCACCAAAGGAAGGGTTGTCTCTTAAACACTACTGATTTTAAAAGTGCTGAAAACAATCCCTCTAGTGTAAGAATCTATTTGCTCAGGTGAAATAACTGAATTGTAGCCCTCTCTATCTTGCTGTAGTAACAGCTGTTCCTCTTCCCTGTAGAAATTTCACACACACACACACACACACACACACACACACACACACACACTCACACACACACACACACACACACACAATACACACACACAC